AAAAAATTAAAGAGTTTGGTGTGGATGCTCTTATTATCTAGAACTGTAGCACCTGTATCCTTCGAAGCTTTTGGGAAGTGTATTTGAATTCTTTATTTTATTTTAGAAATCTTTGATGTTGTTGTATGTTAGTTTTGGAGGAGTATAATCCGATTTAAACTCGTTGGGTTTGTTTGTTCACACTTATTCTTGTCAAAAATTCCTTGGAGACTTAGAATTTCTATTCTAGGGTCGACACCAACCTTCTTAAAGGTCGACCTTTACTTGTTGGTGAAGTTTCTGGAAGTGTTGCAAGAATATAGGGTAGACACCAGTCTGGAAAGGGTCGACCCTATCACGACCCGCTTCCCGTACCCAAGGGTTAAGTATCGTGAGGCCAGTAACCGAAGTTACCTCCAGCCAATTCTTGAACAAATAAATAAACGCATGCGGAAGAAATATTTAAATGAGGGTACCAAAATAATTATCGGAGCTTCAATTTTTATTACAAAATATATTGACCAAAAATGCCGATATTTACATAGAAAAATATCATAAAAGTGTTGTGTGTGTCTATTCCGCAATCCTGCGTCTAAGACTTTTCAAAAGCTATTTCTGAATTGCATTGTTTCCTGAAAATTGGTAAACAGCTATAAGCACATGGCAAAGTGAGGAATATTATACCAAGAGTATAAGGGACATGAAATAACCATGGATAGTTAATTAGGCCAAAACATTTACATAACTCAGTTTGGTAGATAAATCCTTTAAATGACAGAAACTAAAATACAGAAATTATGTAAATATATAGCCATAACCACGGTACTGAACAGAACAGAGGTTACAGAAGTGACAGTCAAAATACGGATTCAAAAGGTGGCTCGTACGGATTCTAGAGGTGGCTCCCACAATAGTGTAGCACTTAGTTCCGCACAGCGCTTTGATCCGCACAGAACAGATGTACGGATTCAAGAGGTGGCTTGTACGAATTCTAGAGGTGACTCCCACAATAGTATAAAACTTAGCTTCGCACAGCACTTTGGTCCGCACAGAACAGAGGTCAATGGATCCATGACAGATAGAGGACCACAAAGTGGTCAACACAGAGGCCAATGGTTTTTTATGTCCCCCAAGGCATGGGACTCCCATGGTGGTACTTACAAAATATAATTGTTCATAAGGTTATAATCAAATATTCTTTAAAATATAAACAAACATATTCATGAGTTTCCTTTAAAACAAATAGGGTTCAGAAAATAATCCACGTAACTAAAACCTTTATAAAACATAACTTTTATTAATATATTAATAAAACATAACTGGTGCAAAATAGATTTTGGTAAGTCAAAATATACGTAAAATACATTTTGATAACTCAAGGTATAATATAACTCACCTTAACTTTAATACCTTACTCTTTTTTTCTACCATCAAAAACCCTTTCAACTTCCACTATTTTTTCTTTCCTTTCCTCTCTTTCTTTCTTCCTTTTCTTTCTTTCCTCTTTTCCTTTTCTTTCCTTCTTTCACAGGTTGATCAATTCTCCCTATTTATAGGGAGAAAAACTCAATCTCTGGCCAACACGTGTCCAGCCGAATCAACTCGCGAATCTGCTTCTTAACTACACCGGATTTGCTTATTATGAAATGAGATTTATATTAATCTTATATAAATATTTAAGATAATTACTTTTTGATTTAATATTTTAATATAATTATATAAATGAATTAATTTTTAACTAAATTATATACTTTATCATATACTAATAAAAAATTATTTATTTATTTTAGTACCGCACCCATTATTATTATTATTTATATTATCTATATTATTATTATTTATATTTTGATCCCTAAACTTTTAATAATTATATTATTTTAGGAAATTATGCATAATAATATATAATAAATTATATATTTTCCGAACTGAGATTAAATAATATTAGTATAAATTCTACAAAATAATAAAAAATTTGAATTGTTACAGACCCTCTTATATTGCAGAATCTGTGTGTTAGTTGCTGGAAAATAGGGTCGACCCCTTCCTGTCTAAGGGTTGACCCTCTTGCTTGTTGCTAGATTGTCTTTTCTACCTAAAAAGTCAACCCCTGCATTTTTTCCGAACTGAGATTAAATAATATTAGTATAAATTCTACAGAATAATAAAAAATCTGGATTGTTACAGACCCTCTTATATTGCAGAATCTGTGTGTTAGTTGCTGGAAAATAGGGTCGACCCCTTCCTGTCTAAGGGTTGACCCTCTTGCTTGTTGCTAGATTGTCTTTTCTACCTAAAGGGTCGACCCCTGCATTTTTTCTTCTTCTAGATTTTGGGGTTCGATTGGGCCCTACCTTTGGAGGGTTTTTGCCTACTATTTTATTTGACCTTAGGGCTATTCTCTACTACTACAAATAGGGCCAAACCACTTTTCTCTCATTATTTTCCTCCCCTTCTTCCTTTCAAACCGTGTTCTCTTCTCTTTCTCTAAAACTCAAACTTTTTCACTTAAATCTCTAGATCTACTCACCTAGAGTGATCTTTTCACCTTGCTCCTTTGAAATTAAGTGTAGAGTTTGTCAAGAGTTACATTTTGATCGGGGCAAATCGTTGTTTTGTTGCTGTCGATTTTTGAGCTTTTCTCTCTTCTCTCTCATCTAAGCTTGAGGTAGGGATCTTTTCTACATGTCCATATGATATTTAGCATAGTTATTAGTATCTAGTGTAACAATGATATAATTTGGAGGTGTTTAAGGCAAACCTAAGGTTTGGGCATAAAATGTAAAGAGGAATTTTTGAGTAAAGGTGAAATAAATGCTTTGGAGGTTTGAAAATGATGTTGGATTGTGTATGATTTGATAATTTTGGCACTTGGCTGATATTTGGGGAAAGAGGGGGAATTTGCCCTAATTGAATCAAATTATTATTTTGTATAAACAATGAAAATTCACATTAAAAATGTGAAATTGAAAAGGTATTGATATGAATGGTGGGATTGGTTATATGTTATTCCATTCTTTGATAGTTTCAAATAAATTATCTGTTATGAGATTTGATATCTATTTAGAAATAACTGTACTGGGTTATCGGTGGAGGATAACTATGATTGTTGTAGAAATTGCGTGCAGATTAGGTAAATTGAAACTAATTACTTGTGCTAGTCATTGAATATGACTAAATTTATGTACATTGTATATGTATGGTTATTTGGAAGTGGAAAGATGATGTACTCCATTATTTGAGTTTGTGATTAAATACATTGCATATGTATATATGATTGTTTGGAAAGAGAAATGAGATGGACTTCATTATAATTATGTTGGTCGGAGTGTCCTGGGTGAAAGTCCCGAAATTATACATGGGTGCCTAGCCCGCAGACGAAATATCCATAAAATGGTAATTATAGTGCTTGTATAGCCTACGTTTACATGGGTTCCGTTTGACGGCTGCACGCGAACAAAATATTCGTGACAGAATACATGGGTTCAGTTTGACGGTTGTCCGCGGTCAAAATATCTGTGAAAGAAAAGTTTGAAGTGTTTACGTGTTCATAATATGGCTCTAGAACTAATGAGTTGTAATCTTATTTGAGTTATTGAAAAATGATGAAATTGTATATGCATAGTGTAATTACACCTTTGCTAAATTTCATATACTGTGTTAGATGGTTTCTATTGGATTGTGACTCATCTTACTTAGGAATAACATTTTCAGGTAACGATAGCATGCCTCCACCAAGGTAATAGCGTTAGAGAAACTTTTGAAAGTAAGTGCTTCTCATTTTGATTGTATATTTTTGTAAAGCCAATGACTTAAGATGTAATGAACGAAACTCACTTTTGATTATAACCAAGATATGTCTTGGAAATATGTAAACCTATAAGACATTTAAATTTATTGTAATTAATTTGCATTACATGTTGTAGATTTTGAATGAACGTTTATGAATATATAATGCATGTAACCCTTTTTGTAATATGATATCTGTTATGAGAAAGTGTACCAATTATGTTATATTTATTCTTCTTATGAGTTAGATTATTTGTATTATTTTGAGGGCGTTACAAGAACTATTAATAAAAAATAATTAAAGTATCTAGATTGTCCATATCTTATTAATTGTAATTAGAATTAATATAATTTTAAAAATTAAAAAATTAAAAGTTAATTGTTGTCATACTTAAATCCTGATGTTTTTTGTAATTTGATAATTCACTAAAATCATTTTAAAAAATGTGATAAAATAACATTCGTTAAACCCATCTCAATTGGTTAAAATAACCAGTTTTACCAATCTCTCATTGGATTGGTTTAGTTTTCTTTGTAAATATACCTGAAGGATTAAGCATATTTTTGTCTTTGCAATAGTTCACATCACTGTGCATGAACCCATATGCTTCATGCTTTTCGGTTCAACCGCCTCTCAATCAATCCCATGTAGAAGAAGAAAATTTACCAGTGTCCTCCAAAAAGTGAAATACTATAAATTTCATTTAGGAAAATGTCTCGTAGTTCAAATTTTGTGGCTCAAAAGTGACTCAAATGGCCAAAACGACGTCGTTTTGGCCATTTTTATGTTGTTCTGTACTCAAAACGACATCGTTTTGGCCATTTGAGTCACTTTTGAGCCACAAAATTTGAACTACGAGACATTTTCCTAAATGAAATTTATAGTATTTCACTTTTTGGAGTGATAATTCACTAAAATCATTTTAAAAAATGTGATAAAATACCATTCGTTAAACCCATCTCAATTGGTTAAAATAACCAGTTTTACGAATCTCTCCTTGGATTGGTTTAGTTTTCTTTGTAATTATACCTGAAGGATGCATATTTTTGTCTTTGCAATAGTTCACATCACTGTGCATGAACCCATATGCTTCATGCTTTTCAGTTCAACCGCCTCTCAATCAATCCCATGTAGAAGAATAAAATTTACCAGTGTCCTCCAAAAAGTGAAATACTATAAATTTCATTTATTACCCAAAATTAATCTCATTAATTACACTTCAACCCTTCCCAACGTTGTCCCCCTACATACATCACCCTCAACACAAAGCACTCTTCACACTCCCTACTCTCTCTCTCTCTGGTTTCAGACCAACAATGGCGAAGCCATATTTTCTTCTCTCTCTCATACTCCTCAATTTCTCTCTCCTCAAAGCTTCAAACCCAGACATAGAACCATTAATGGAGTTCAAAGGAGCTTCAGACCCATTCAACAAGCTCAACACATGGAACCAATCCACAGATCCTTGCTCTTGGTATGGCGTCTCGTGTCACCAAAACCGAGTCTCGCGACTCGTTCTCGAAGGCCTAGACCTCCACGGTACATTCCAACCCTTAACCTCCCTAACCCAGCTCCGAGTTCTCAGTCTCAAGCGAAACAACCTCTCGGGTCCCATTCCAAATCTCTCTAACCTCACCGCACTGAAACTTCTCTTCCTCTCCTACAACCAGTTTTCCGGCGAGTTTCCGGACTCCGGCACATCTCTGTTTCGTCTGTACCGGCTCGATCTGTCTCACAACAACTTTTCCGGCCAGATTCCGGCGTCTGTGAACCGTCTGATTCACCTCCTCACGCTCCGACTCGAAGAGAACCAGTTTTCAGGACACATTTCCCAGATTGATCTCCCGAATCTCCAGGACTTCAATGTCTCCGGCAACACACTCTCCGGCGAAATACCCAAATCCCTTTCTGGTTTCCCCGAATCCGCTTTCTCCCTCAACCCGGTCCTGTGCGGTTCTCCCCTACCACCCTGCAAAACCAACAACAACAACAAAAGCTTCTCCAGTGATCCGACCCGACCCGGACCATCCGGAGCCATCGCGTCTCCATTGGGCCCCGTAGTTTCGTCTTCGCCGAGCTCAATCCCGGTGATCACAACGCCGAATAAATCGGGAAATCCACGTCACTCGGGGGTAGGAAAAGTAACCCCGGTGATGATAATCGCGATCATAATCGGCGACGTGTTAGTCCTCGCCGTAGTGTCCGTCCTCCTCTACTGCTACTGCGGCAAATTCCGAAACGCAAAAGGGTCCCAAATCCTAGAAGGAGAGAAGATCGTGTACTCATCAAGCCCGTACCCTCACACCGCAACCCAACCCGGGTTCGAGAGGGGTCGAATGGTTTTCTTCGAGGGTGCGAAGAGGTTCGAGCTCGAAGACTTGCTTCGAGCATCGGCGGAGATGCTGGGGAAAGGTGGATTCGGGACGGCGTACAAGGCGGTGCTTGACGACGGCAATGTGGTGGCGGTGAAGAGGCTGAAGGAGGCGAGTATTGGTGGGAGGAGAGAGTTTGAGCAGCAGATGGAGGTTTTGGGGAGGCTGAGACACCAGAATGTTGTGGGGTTGAAGTCTTATTACTTTGCTAGGGATGAGAAGTTGTTGGTTTATGATTACATGCCTAATGGAAACTTGTTTTGGCTTCTTCATGGTATGTTTCTCACACTAAAAATCTTTTTACTATTGTTTAGTTTGTTTAGAGGTTTAGGAAGAGTTATTTGAATTGCAAATTTGTTAATGGGTTGGATTAAAATTAAATTTTAATCTTCTTTTTTTTTAGTTAATTTTTGATTAATTTTTTTGGTTTGTAGTATTACCCATAAAATAATCTGGGATTAAGAGTCTCATGAAATTGTTAATTACTTGTGTTTAGATCCTGAATTTAGGAAAGAAATTAGAAACAGAAAAGAAAAGTATGCGTTTAGATTATGAATTTGAATACTGATGTAAAAAAAAAATAAAGAAGAAAATTACATTTATATTTCATCCACATTGGTTTTTCTTCTAAATTCATATTTAAATTGTTTTGATCTGCATTTCGAGGAATTGGTGTCTTGAATTTTCCCATGATATTAGTGTTAAAAAGTTTATTTAGATAGGGAGACAAATTTAGACATAGAACATCCTGATTTAGAGATTGAGTTGCAATCCATCGTCTAATTTTAGGTTTGAGTACAGAGATTCATAAAGGGTGAGGATTTTCCAGTCTAGTCTATACAGGGGATCGGGTGGTGGTGTTTAGGCTTGTGGGATCGATTTTATAATAGAATTATGCTATTTTAATTATCATATCAATATGATTTACACACGAACCTAAAAGATAGTGAAACCGATGATAAGCTTGAAACCGAATTGTTTCCCATCCAGAAACTTCACCATAAGGTCTTCGTAGTGTTTGCGAAAGGAGGTGGCTTCCCTCTAGTTTATTAATTATCACTAATTAGATTGGAGGGCCTAGTTTAGTGCTCACTGGGCCTATTTCGAGTCTATTAACACTTCAAATTTTAGTGCCTCCCAATTAGATCATTTATATAAAATTCATATTGACCATATATCAATCTATTCTTGATATCATACTTGTTTATTTTTTTCAAAAATAAATATGATTCAAACATATAATTACTGACATTTGATTAGTTTAATTTTACTGAAATTTGACGGTTTCAAATCACCGAAGTGGACTCAAAATGAGGCTGTGAAACACTAAACTAAGTCCAATTAGTGAAAGTGAGTGAATTCTCCTCCTTTGTGAAATTGTATTAGTCAGTAATTTCTTAATAGGATGCAAGGTTTCTAACTAAATGAGTTTGTAATGCAATTGATTAGTATAATTGCATGTGTAGTCAAAAAAAAAATAAAAAATAAATAAAGCTTTGGTTAAGTAGCACTCATAGCCTTGGTTTGAATGTTTTCTTTTGAAAAGTATTTGTCTCAGGTGGGAATTGGGTAATGACATACTTCAAAAAAGTAGATTTAGTAGGTCCCATAAAATTTTCCTAGATAACCCATTTGACGAAATTGGACCATCTTACTTTAACAAAAGCCAACATTGAACATTTTATTCAGATTTGGATGTTCATGTGGGTGCTCTGCAATTTTTATGTTTAAAAATGTCAATTTAGTCATTTTGATCCGGTGCAAGGTTTAGATTCAATAATTATTTGATATTTACGAAAAGAAAACTATAAGCAGTGACGGAGTCATTATAGGCCCAAGAGGGACACGTCCCTCTCTTCAATTTTTCAAAAAAATACATTTTTAGTGGTTTTAAATTTTTTTTATTGTTTTTTATTTCCCTAAAAAAATATTGTTTATGTCCCATAATTTTTTATTTTATTTTTCTTTCATTAAACATGACACACCATTAACTAGAATATGAACATAGATTGACTCATTTATTCACAAATAAATTTAAGAAAGCATTTCATGCGCATTTTTTATTTTAATTTTAATTTCTTATTACTTCAAGTAATATAAATTTGTATGCTAGATTTATTCTAGTGATATGCATGATATTTCAATAATTTGGCTGAGTGAAAAAAAAAAATGCCTAACAACATAACCTTTGGGGTTAAGAGCGTAAGGGAGCCAAAGTCTTAGAGGACACCTTAGGTGGTGTTACATAATAAGACCACTCAATCATAGAACGGTAAATTGCAGACTTACACACAAGTAGGGATTTGTACCTACACTACTAGCACTTTGGGTACGGTTCATCTAAACTTGAAAGACTTACCCTACTTACCTTATGTGCTATCACCCCAGTGACTAGTCCTAAGAAGAATCGAACTTGGGACTTGAGATTTAACACCCCAAATCCTTACAGCTTGAACAATCCTAAACACTCCCATGAGCCACACAAAAAGAATAAAAAAAAAAAGATAAAAATTGTCCAGTAGGGGCTTGCCTCTTATTTCATTTGATTTTTTGTATTGGGTCCACCCCACACACACACACTATTGCTCTGTACCTTTCCCAATTAAAAACAGTTACACAACAATGGAGGGGGGGACATACAAAGCTGCAAAACCAATTTCCCATTGGGGAATGGTGAAATACTCAATGGTGTGGTGTGTCTGTATCTGTACAGAGCCACAGAGACCCCATGGCACTCTGAAATATATAATCAGTATCTTTATTTTCCCTCCCCTACTTTTTGTTCTTTTCTCTTGGGTAAAAAGGTTTTGTTTTGGCCTTTGCCTTGCCTTTGCCTCTTCTTCTATATATATCTACGGAATAATCACCAGCAGCAGCTACCATACAATTGTAAATGGGACCCAGTACCCAGTACCCAGTACCCAGTACCCAGTTGGGATCATCCTCCATAACAAACAGATGTCTCCCCCTGTAGATCAAGCATTCATTACTGTATATGCGATAATTCTGCAAATGCATTTAACGTTATCTATTTGCACTTGTATAAATGGATGGTGTTAGATTTATTTATCACATTGTTTGTCGCACACGATAAATCATTTTCTTTTTATTGTGTTTAATAATGTTATGATGATGTGTTACTACTGTTTTGATTCAATGGGTTTGAGCAATCATTTGTTTCCAATTCGGTAGTGACATATTACTTAATAAATAAAATATAATAAGAAAATGTGATAAGGTTAGTATTATTGCAATGTGACACTTGATTTTTTTTTTTTAAAAAGAAAAATCAAATCATGTGAATGTCAATGCAAAAGATCCTAAGCATTTCTTTAAGACCAATAATTTTTTGCGGTCTGTTTAGATGATAATAATTTCGTAATTATTTTCATGGATGGAATGAAAATTTTTATTTCATGATCCAACTGTTTGATTTTGAATTTTCACGATATGTTGTAAACTTAAGCAAATGAAAAGAGACGATCAAAATCTGTTTTTAACAGGAAATCGGGGACCAGGGCGAACCCCGCTAGACTGGACAACAAGGCTGAAGATTGCTGCGGGAGCAGCTCGAGGACTCGCCTTCATTCACAGCTCGTGCCGGTCCCTTAGACTCACCCATGGTAACATAAAGTCCACAAACATCCTACTCGACAAGGCCGGAAACGCACGTGTCTCCGACTTTGGACTCTCCATGTTCGCGCCTCCGACAGCCTCCCTCCCGAGATCCAACGGCTATCGTGCCCCGGAAGCATTAGACCCACGAAAGATCACCCAGAAATCCGATGTTTACTCTTTTGGGGTCCTATTGCTGGAGCTGCTCACAGGGAAGTGCCCCTCTTTGGGGGATAATGTGGGGTCCGCGACAGGGTATGGTGGGGTGGTAGACCTACCGAGGTGGGTCCAGTCCGTGGTGAGAGAGGAATGGACCGCGGAGGTTTTCGATTTGGAGCTGATGAGGTATAAGGACATCGAGGAGGAGATGGTGGGGCTGTTGCAAGTTGCCATGGTTTGTACAACGGCAGCCCCAGATCAACGGCCTAAAATGAGCCACGTTGTCAAGATGATAGATGAGATTCGGGGAGTCGAGGTGTCGCCGTCGCACGAGGCTTTTGACTCCGCGTCGGACTCGCCGGCTGTGTCCGAAGATGCTTGTGGAGTGACTCAGTGATCACAAACACGAACAGCAAAATGCGGTCGTTTTTTTTATTTTTATTTTCTTGAACTAGTTGCAAGAGTGCTGTAAATCTTTTTTATTGTTATTTTTATTTTTTATTATTAGCTGTTTTTAATTTAATTTTGTTTGAATTAGAATTGGTTATGCGTTAATTTGGTGTGGATTAACGGGATTTGGAGAAGATTTTATGATAAAAAGAGCTTCTTTCTTCCTCCATTTGAATCATCCAAACACTATGATACAAGAAAATGTTTTGACTTATTTTGGAGAATAAGTTAGAAGTTAGTTTTTTTAACATTTTTTTAGATGGTGGTGTTTTCATGAACTAATTAGTGTACTAAGTAATGTATTAATATTAGTTATAATATTATTATTGATTTCATTCATTATACAAATTATAAAAATTAATTTTTTTTTTAAAATTATGTTACATCATCAATTGGTACACTAGTTATTATATTAATTGGTGTATATAGTATTTTTTTTTAAAATTTGTAAAAAAAAAAATAGAGATAATCAGTTTGATTTTTTTGAATTTACTTTTTAAAAATATAGAACTTTTTTTTTTCATATTTTTTTACTTTCACTAAATTTTTTTGATATTTTAAATAATTTTTTTAATTTTTAAATACAGTATAAATATTCTTAAAAAAGTATTTGATTTGTGTTTGTAGAGTAATTTTTGAGATAAAAAGTACAAAAACTTGTTTGATTTGCCTTTTTTCAGAAATAATTTTGGAAAATTGTTTTAGAAAGAGAGTTTAAAAAAAAAAAGTAATTCATTTGATGTGTATAAGAGTGTGACTTTGGAAAGTAGGTAACCAAATAAAATTTTGAGATTTTTTTTGAAAAATTTTGTTTGGTTTGATTACTCTTGAAAATTTGTTTGTAGAGAATTTTTTTCAAAATTTTTTCTGAAAAACAAACCAAACAAGGCCACAATATTTGTAAAAAAAAAATCTTTAAAAAATTTACTAAATACCAAAAATATAAATATAAAAAAATACAAAAATTAAATATATATTTCATATTATTGTATATTTATTTTTTTTTACACATATTTTATTTTTTAGATACATTTAAATAAGGTATATTTAAAAAATATAAAAAAGTGCTTAAAATTTAAAAATATTTACTAAAAATAAAAAAAAATTAATTTCTAAAAAATTAAATTTAAAAAATTAAAATCAAATAGAATAAATATGATCTAAAAAAATTAAAAAAATTATCGAAATAAGCCTTTGGAGCTACAAAAGTAGTACACGGACTGTTTTGTATTTTCAACCCATGATTAGGGGTGGTTGCGATTCGATTTTGGACGGTTTATAGATCGGTTTGGATATGCTCGCATATATGTTGTTTGGGAAAAATTCAACATGCAACCGTCTGCAATGCAGGTTGCGGTTTGTACGGATAGAGTTTGTGAATGTGCGGGCAGTTGCAAGCGGTTTGCGAATTGAACTTTTTTCTTTAAAAATTAATTTTGAAACCTTTTTTTCCCCCTATTTTTGTAAATATTTATTTTGGACCCGTTTCCTCCCATTTTCTAAAATGCTCCAATATTAATAATTAATTAATTAAAACTTATAAAATTAAAAACACAACAAAATCAATTCCTAACACAAACAAATCATTTAAAATCTTAAACTTTTAAATCAAATTATAAACTAACACAAGCACATCTTTCAAAATCATAAACTAGATCATTAATCTCATTCGCTATTATCTACTACCCAACAATACAATTAAAATAAAATCATTCAAAATTCTAAACTTACCTAAAAGTAATTTTTCATTAATTTTTACATTTATCCAAAATGCAATAAAAAAATAACAAATGTCCAGGTTTAAAATAATAATAAAAAAAATCTAAGTGCGAGCGGATTCTTGTAGATGCGGGTTAAACTCGCAACCCATCGGTAACCAGCAAGTATGCCATATTTCAAACCACATCTGTCCGCATTGTATCTGTGAAACCGCCCATTTATATGCAGATCGATTTGGGTTAGACAAGTTATGCGGTTCAGATAACTTTATACCTAACCCTACTCATGATATACAGAAATACTGATAGAAAACGTTGTCGTTTCACTAAGGTCCACCTTTGAGTACTGCATGAGTTCTATTGGGGAAACCTGATGCTAGGGCAATCCATGACAATTTTAGACCAGAATTGTCCTGTCAATACAATAGCTGGGGATGCAATCGAATGGTTTTGAACTAAGGGTTCGTTTGGGAAGGGGGTTAATTTTTTAACTTTTTAATTTTTTTGGCTATTTTAGCTTAGGGTTAAAAAGTCTCGTTTAGAAAAGATTTTTAGTTTTTTTGTGAGAGAAAGAATGTAATGATTATGGGTTGAATGTGATATTTTGTCTTATTGGACTAAAAAGTTTATTTTGTTTTTTATGACTATTTTAGCTAAAAAAAACCTGACTTTTTTCTTCTCAAACGGAGCCTAAAGACCAAATGGATTGTTCAAGTTTGCAATTGAATTTCATTGGCTTTGTGTCATGCATATCACTCGAATTACAGAATAATCACTTATCTTCTATATTATTATAAAGGGAAGACATTGTATAAATGTCTAATTTAATTTTTAATTTATTTTTATTTTTAATATCCCTATAGAAGTTACATGGACAATTATACCATAAATTTAGGTTTTTTTTTTTGGGTCAAATCTTTCAATTTTTGATTTTTTCGAATTTATTTTAATATTCAAATTGTAAATTCAATCATACAATTTATAATCTTATTTTTCTAAAATAAAATGATCGTTAGCACACGTATCACATGCGCCATTAGTTCTAGTTATTTATTATAAAGCCAAACTGTTGAGTTGGTGTTGATTTTCAAATTTTTTAAATTTTTTTCAAAATACCTCAATAGCAGTTACATAGAAAGTTATGCCCTAAATTCATGATTTTTATGTTTTTTTATTGTTTTTGAAATCTGTTCACTGTTGGTCATTTAAAATGTTTCAATTTTTAAATTTTGAATTCTATCATACACTGTATAATCTTATTTCTTGGAAAAAAAAATGATCTTATGTACACATATCACGTAATATTATGATATGTATCCAATGTAAGAATCCGGATTTTCAATTGCCAAGGAATTTTAAATACTCACAATTTGAAGGTTTGGGTTATTATTACATGTCATTTATAGATATATAATTCATAGAGTAATGTTACAAATTCTAAAAGTTTTATCAAAATTTTTATCAAACGTCTCACATGAGTGCAACAATGATTCATCCTCCCTTTTTCCCCCACCCCCTTTGACCCCCCCTCTCTCTCATTGGTTACATTTTCTTTTTCTTTTTCTTTTTTTTCCTGCTCCTCCAATCACCACCCACCACGTGACAAAGGGGGGTGAGGGGGTGACCCCCAAAAGGGGGTCCCAAGCATTATTCCACATGAGTGTGGAATTCACACCATGTGGGTCTCACATTTATGTGAGATATTTGATAAAAATTTTGATAGAATTTTTAGAATCTCTAATATTTTTATAAATCATAGTCTATATGTATATGGATGGAGTTGGGGAAAGAGAGATTTACCCACACTGTCAGAGTACAAAATATTTGGAACTTTTTAAAAAAAAAATTTGATTTTTTAGTTTTGATTTTTTATTTTTAATGAATATTTTTAATATTTTAATTATTTTTTTTAGATCCACTTAATTTAAATACACTTAAAAATTACAAAATTTATTCATGTTCATCTAAATTAAAAAAAAAATTAACTGAAACATAAATAATAAAAAAAATTCACTATAAATAACAAAATTTTAAATTTTAAATTTTAAATTTTAAAAACTCATACAAAACAGAGTGGAGTTTGTTAAACAAACAATGGAAACACTTAAATTTGAAAAAATACAAATAATTTGTGGGGCCACATCAAAAATACAAATAATTTGTGGGGCCACTTCTTATGTGTAGTAAGTAATGGATAATAACTATGAGACATGGGAATTGGGGGGACCTCATTATATTTTCACGTTAGAATCGAGATGATTGCGTCATTTTATGGTACCAATATCCACTAGAGTTTTATTCCTGAAGTAATATCCGAAGTGAATGATGCAATGACTCAAAATAAAATTAACTAAAATGACATTGTTTTGGTGGATAAATTAAAAAAAAAAAAATTCAAATTTTTCTTGTTCTGGATTTCTGTTCATCGTTCTTGGGAGAGTTAGTGAGGGAAGGACTGAGAGGAGAGAAGAGGAGGCACGACCGATCTCCTTCGCCGAACTTTGGGGGTCGATCTCCTCCCCGTCGCCGGCATGACCAATCTCCATGGCCAATCTCCTCCGCCGAACTCTGTTCATCGTTTCTTGTGGTCTTTTTCACAACGTTTTAAGGATCTTTTGGAGCTTCCAAGCAGACAAAATCGAAGGCCTCCTATTAAATTGGGTCCTCTGTGGTCTTCCTTGTTACTAGAAATGTTTATCCAATTGGGTATGTGTTGTTTGATTGTGGGTTTTTATGTTTGGTTCGGGAAAATACAATCTTGATAGGTATATATGTATTTGTTTATGTTTTATGATTGCTTGATTTTGGATTTTTATGTTAGATTCTAGAAATGCAATCTTGATGGGTATGTGTTTGTATATGATTGTTTGATTTTGGGTTTCTTGGAAGATTTCCCTTCATAATTTGCTTTTGCGATTGTTGATTATTGTGTACTTTTTATTATTAACTTGTTTTTTTATTTTTTCTTTTACGAATTACTTGGAATCTTTAGGTGGGTTCTTACCCATTTCCTCTGAATTTGATTTTCTTGCAATTTCTTTTCATTATCCATGTTTTTTCTTCGAAATTCTCATTACACATTTGTTTTATTCTCAGCCTTCTCTCACAACTCTCCAGGAACAATGAAAAGAAAGAAAGCCAGAACAAGGAAAATTTGAATTTTGTTTCGTCTTTTTTCCTTCAATTTACCCACCAAAACGACGTCGTTTTGGCGAGGTTGAATCTCAGCCCTTGGAAGGCTGAGTGGGATACGTGTCTCTCTCCCTCTCTTCACTGTAGGAGATCACTCTAAGAATATTACCCTAGAAGATCCTAACGCCTTTTATGTTTCTTTACATGGATTTATAGAGTTGTCTACGTTAGTGAAAGTAATATGATAAAAGGGCATTTAAACACAAATTTTAATTTATAAATTTATTAGTATTTCACTCATTCTATGTATGAATTGTAT